GAACCCATGCGCGTCCCAGACGCCCCACGGAGGCCAGCAGGGCCGGCAGGTGTCCGGCTCCATCCTGGTGAACAGCTGGCCCCTGGGCCGGAGGGACCAGCACGCCCCGCGCCCCGCAGCGGGGGAGCCCCAGGCTCGCCGGCGGGAGTACGGCATGAGCGCGCGCTGGATGCCGCCTTTCGCAGCCGGGGCGCCGCTGGTCATCCCGCAGGAATGCTCAGCCAGACCTGGTGTTTAAAGCCCTCGGCGCCCCGCGGGCACAGGCCCGGCCCTGACATGGGCCGCTTGTTTGTCCTGTCTTGGCCTGCCCAGCAGGCCTGGGGGCGGGGCGGGGAGGGGAGGGCGTCCCAGCTGCATCAACACAGTTTTGCAAGAGAAGCCTCAGGAGTGCTGCAGGGTCAGCGCTGCCTCTGGTCAGTGCCCAGGCTTAGAGCCTCCGCTCGAGCCCGTGCGGGAGGAGCCCGGCCCTCGAGGATTCACAGAGGAGTCGGAGAGAGGTTGGGAGCCGAGGTGGGGCGCACGGTACGTAAGACCCCAGCCACAGCCAGGTGGACACGCCACGGGTGGGGACACGGCGATGCGTGGCCTGGGGACACCTGCCTGCCCGTCGCCACACCCCGTCGATCACCTCCAGTCAAGCGGGGGCCCGGGGAGACACTTCCCCAAGCCGCCCGGAGATGGACCCGGCACTCTCCCCGTCACACCCGCCCCGGCCCCCCGAGGTCCTTGGTGCCGGACGCTCCCCGCAAAGGGCGGCTCCTTGTCCACGCAGCGTCCGCGAGTCGCTTCTGCCGCTGGAACTGGACGGGGGGGCTCGGGGCCGAGGGGCCGGGCCGCCGTCCGGTGTCCGACAGGGCAGACGTCCGTCCTCCTGTCCCTCCTCCGCTCCGGGCCGGCACGGCCGCCACCTGCTGTGTGGCCCCTGCGGCAGCCCAAGGAGGCGGCACGTTGAGGCCTCGCTAAGCGCCGCCGAGGACACCCAGTCACGTGCCCTCGGAGGTGGACTTCGGCCTGGGTTGCCAGGCGGGCGAGGGCCTGGGGCTTGAGCGGGCGTCTTTAAGGTCAGCTCACGGGCAGTCTCCTCCACGCGGGGTTTTCTCTTCTGCCCTGAGGCATTCCCAGCAGTGACTGTCCACCCACATCCTGCAAGTCCTTTCGCGAGACCCTGGCGCTCATCCCGGAGCGGGCGGTCAAGATCGAAACCGGGCAGTGGCTGGCGGGGGCGGC